TACGAATTTTAATTTAAAAAATTTTACATGGTTCCATATAATAAAATCAAGTCTGACAGGGTTAATATAAATCATTATCGAAAAAATATTACAAAATAATATAATATATACAGGGTGTTAAAATAATCGCCAAATATTTTAAGAGAAAAAATTGTTTATTTTTTTTTCGTAAAATTCTAAGAATTTTTTCAGAATTTTTTAATACCATATTTTTTCATGTTTGTAAAAATAAGAAAATGTAGTACTAAAAAGTTGATAAAAAATTCTTAGGTTTTATGAGAAGAAAATAAATAATTTTTATTTTTTACAGTTTTTCTGTAAAGTTGATAATATTTGAGTAAAAATTATTGAAAACCAATTTTCGTCAATTTTTAGTAATTAATATCTTGTTAACTATTACGAAAATTGCAAAATAGTAGAGAACTTTTCGACTTAATTCAATCCACTCTACCTGCCCATGAAATATTTAGCGATTATTTTGGGACCTTTATATATTATTTATAAATGTATTATTTAAAATGTATTATGAATATCTTACAACAAATAAATATACGCGATTTATATGTATAAGTTTATTAACGTCAATTATGAATTTAATATTTGTTACTTCTATAATGACCATCGGTTTATACCATAATTAATTCCCAAATTCATCATTGGCTGTGTTCAATAGAAAAAATAGCTTTGCAACTGTAAAATTCTTGAATATGATTGATTCATACATTTAGATTCAGTAAGGACCTAAGAGCAAGATCAATCATATTAAAGAATTTTACAACAGTTGCAAAGCTGCTTTTTCTGCTGAACGCAGCTATTGTCATTAAAGGATGATGAGTGATGTAATATGCTGTACCTCTGTCGTAGACTTGTTTGTCTTGCCAAAGACAGATTTCACTCGTAATCATAATGTTTTATGCGTTTATGTACATATTTTATAATTGTTTTAAAAATATTTTTAGTACTGAGTATTATGATGACTTTTCCGAAAAACTATAAAAAAGTTTAAACCAAAATCAATCCCGATAATAAATATATAAATTTTCGCAATTTAAAATTTTAATTTGTCTGTAAGCAAGTCACAATAATTGATTTAGCTAATTTTCAAAACATGTATACATTAACGACCTTGAGAAAGATTTCCACCAATAAAAGTCCATTCAAATAAAAAAAAGAATATTTTGATCCAATAAAAATAAGCTACAAAAGAAGCTTTTTCATTAAATATTACATATAAATAATAATGTTTTCAGTTGCATTAAATTAAAATTGTCTTTATTCTTACCGTACTATTCCTGTCATTAACGAACTATGATTAGCGTAAGCTCCCCCTCCGTAATAGTACGGTACATCATTATAGTACGGCATTTTCTTTTATACTTTCTTCTTCGTTTACACTAAATAACAATAGTCACAATGATAATATGGAAAAACAATGACAAACAAGTTGGCGCGAAACAATTGACGCGTCGGTCAAAAGGATAATTGAACAACTGCGTTGTTTTGCTTTTAGAGACAGTGGACCGGTCACGTAAACGCGGTAGCTCTGGCTCTCAGGTGTGCGAAAAGCGAAACTGTTCTTACGGTTCAGAGAGCCAAGACCAACTGAGTTTAAGCGACCCAGTGTAATAATAGAATTCTAGTATATGTGAGGCTTCCAAGCGCTAAGACTCTAATAACCTGCTCGTATGGCCAACTATTATGACTGGTAGTTTTAACGATAAAAGGAATGCGGAGCAATTATCTGCATTTTCCACAACATTGCATTTAATACTTATTCATGCTAACAAGAATTAAAAAAATCTTTCATTCCTATGCATATATGTTTTCCTTTCATTAAGGAAGGAATACAAACGAAAGGAAAGAAGTAATTGACCGTGAATGTTAATAAAGAGATTTTGCTTTATTAATTTTTATTTATTTGTATATAATTGACTACATTAAGTAGAAAAAAAATATATAGAATATATATAAAAAAATATATAGAAGAAGATTAAATATACAAAATGTAAATACATGGTGTTACATAATTCTGCCGACAACGCTCGTGGGTAGATAGAGCGGACTAAACTGAATCGAAAAGTCCTGTACCATTTTGCAATTTTCACAATAATTAACAAGATATTTATTAAAAAATTGCTAAATATTGATTTTTAATAATTTTTTACTCAAATACTATCAACTTTACAGAAAAAATGCAAAAGACAAAAATCATTTATTTTCTTCTCATAGAACTCTGAATATTTTTTCAGAATTTTTTATCAACTTTTTAGTAATGCATTTTCTTATTTTTAGCAACATCAGAAAATACGATATTAAAAAATTCTGAAAAAAATTCTGAGAAAATTCTCAGAACCGTTTTTCTGTAAAATTGTTAGAATTGATTAAAAAATGATTGAAGACCAATATTTAGCAATTTTTAGTAATTAATATCTCATTAATTATTGCGAATATTGCAAAATGGTACAGAACTTTTCGACTCAGTTTAACCCGCTCTACCTGCGATTCCTCAGGACAAATGGTGGCGTAATTTAAGGCCAGAGTGTGTGTGTGTGTGTGTGTGTGTGTGTGTGTGTGTGTGTGTGTGCGTGCGTGCGTGCGTGCGTGCGTGCGTGCGTGCGTGCGTGCGTGCGTGCGTGTGTTTCAAAGAAAAAAGTATAATTCCTAAACAAAAATTTTACGATTTTAGGAAAATACTATATAATACATATAATACATTTTTTTATAATATACGACTTTTATTAATATCATCGATACATCTAATTGAGAGGAATATGCCTGCACGGAATACAAGAAATCCGGGTTTGAATCCCGGCTAAGATAATATTTCTCAATAAATTATTTACAGTTTTTAAGTGACACATTAGTGTCAAATCATTAACAGCTTTTTATGATGCTTATTTGCAGCTGTAATATTAAAACTTGTCAATTTAATTTGCGTCATTACTACTCCAGCTTCGAACGTGTGTCAAGATCGATAAATTATCGGCACATAGCTAGTTTGAATTAGAGATTCTATAAATTTGCAATAAATATTAGGCATAAAGAATCACCTTGATCGAAAATAAGTTTTTCACTCATGTGTATTTGATATGTTTTTATAAATAGAATTATAATTTCTTTTTACTTTAAATTGATTCTTTTTGTTTCTCTTTTTCCTTCCTTCTTTTCTCGCTTTCTTTTTCTATTTCTCCGTTTCTCTTTCTCTTTTCTTTAGATAATTTTATTTTCTGCACTTCCTGATGAGATAAATCCAACGACATATAGAGTAAGATCGAATATTATGAGTTTAAGGAAACATTTTGATATATCTGAAGAATAAAAAAATCTTATGCATACCATTTGATAGATTTGTTGATGTTTTATGTATCTTAGTATTGAAATTGATTATTTTAATGCAAATGTTGAAATGGTGGCGGATGTTCTTATTACCCGCCCAGTGCTCATATTACCTTCTGGCTAAGTTAAAATGAACATCCTTAGGGGTAATATGAGCACAGGAAATTTTTTCTAACAAGGAGACGTTATACCAACCGATTTCAACGAAATTGATTGTAGTGATAGGTATTCACGTCAAGTGTTACTGGGTAAAAAGATAATAGGCACTGCTCAAGCATTTGCAAGAAAATTAAAATGGAAAATTTCGAGCGCCTAATAAGCCAATTCAATAGATTGTTTGATCGAAGAACTCGTGGCGTAGCCGTAACGCGTCTTACTAGTAACCTCGACGTTGCGGTTTCGAATCCCTTCTTTGACATTTTTTTTCCTTTTGTAAAATACAATTATTATTATTACACAAAAAATAAATGCATATCTATAGATTAATACATTTTGTATATTTATTGTACATTGTGTATATAATTATCTGAACAATTTCCTAGACAGAGAATGCAAACGGAAAAATGCATTTGTAATGTACAATAAATATACAAAATGTATTAATCTATGGATTATTTTGTGTAATAATTGTATTTTACAAAAGGAAAAAAAATGTCAAAAAGTTCGAGATTCGAACCCGCAACGTCGAGGTACTAAGACGCTGCGTCACGAGCTCTTCGATCAAACGATCTACTGAACTGGCTTATTTGGTGTTCGAAATTTTCAATTTTGATTTTCTCGCAAACGCTTGAGTAATGCCTATTATTTTTTCCAGTAACATTCAAGATGAATACCTATCGCTAGAATTAGTTTCGTTAAATTTGATTGGTATCACATCGTAAAGTCTCGTAAGAAATTATGCATAAATGAAAGGCTGAAATATATGTATATACTGTGGCAACAATTATTGCCACGATTATAAGGTAAAGATGCGTTGTATTTCAAAGAAAGGCATGCATACCGTTTTTCGACACACGGGCCGGTTACGCACGCGAATAATATTGTCTGTACACACAGCAGTTCGACGAAACAATGGAGGATAAAATGCCTTTGTTGTTTCTTTTGACAAATTTCAGATAAATTTCTTCTTCGCATCGTGCAGAATGACAAGGAAATGCACGTATAAAAATAATAACTAGTAATTATTAATTATTATTTTCCGCGAGTTAACCGGATTATTTTTAAAATATAAGTATGAGGATAATTGGAACAAACCTGCGGAAATAATATTGTGATACTAAAGAAGGTCCGAGAAGGTTGACGAAACGTGCGAGCGTTCTTGTGAGAAAAATAAGAGGATTCGACTCCGAGAAGCGAAGTCTGTGAGACTCCGGAGAGACGGGACTAACGTACATAACAAGAGAGATTAAAACGGACCTAAAAAATATCTACGAATCTTTGCATTGTAAATATCACCGCTACGGATACGAAATCCTTTGCCTAAAATTTTCGAACTCCTTACACACGCAACGGATACTAAAATGCATATATATACACACACGTACACCCGGTGGGTATTCTAGATAGGAAAAGTTCGATATGTGCGATATATTGGGTTGTCCGGAAAGTCCGTGCGGATTTTTAAGCAAAATTCAAACGACAAATTTTTATTGTTAAAAGTAATTTTATTCTGTAACATATGCATCATTATTTTGCACAATACTTTTCCATCTTTTGGGTAATTTCAAAATTCCCCTCTCGTAGAAGTTCTGGGGTTTTTCGGCGAAAAAGCTGTCCAAGTAGTTTTTGAGGAGTTCCAAAGAAGCAAAGTTTAAACCATTAATTGAGTTTTGTAGCGACCGAAATAAATGATAATCCGAGGGTGCAATGTCGGGGGAATATGGTGGATGAGGCAAAACATCCCAGCCAAGCGCCAATAATTTTTGTCGAGTCTGTAAACTTGTATGAGGTTTGGCGTTATCATGATGAAAAACGACGCCTTTCCTATTGATCAATTCCGGACACTTTTTGGTGATTTCCACCTTCAATTTATCCAACTGTGAACAATACTTGTCCGAATCGATGGTTTCGTTGTTCGGTAGTAGCTCATAGTACACTATCCCTTTCCAATTCCACCAAATGCAGAGCATTACCTTCTTTGGATGTAAACCTGCCTTCGGAGTGGTCGATGGCGGTTCACCTCGCTTGCTCCATGACCTTTTACGCTCGACATTATTATAAATTATCCACTTTTCGTCGCCTGTTATGATACGCTTCAAAAATGGATCGTATTCGTTGCGTTTGTATAGCAAATCGCTGATGGAAATGCGATCAATACGATTTTTTTCAGTTAAGTCGTGCGGTACCCAAACATCAAGCTTTTTTATAATCTGGAGCTTGTTTAAATGTTCGGAAACAACTGATTTGCCAATGTTTAACCTTGCTGCGATTTCCCGAACTGTGATTTGCCGATCGGAATCGATTAAAGCTGTAATTTGGTCGATGGATTGGACATCGGTGTTGACTGGCCGGCCAGAGCGAGGAGCATCTTCAATATTCATTTCTCCTGAACGAAATTTAGCAAATCACTTCTGGCACATGCGATCACTTACGGCATCTTCCCCGTATACGGCACATATTTTTTTTCGAGTTTGTGTCGCGTTCTTGCCTTTGCGGAAATAAAAAAGCATTATGCATCGAAAAAACACGTTATTTCCTTCCATCTTTAAGCTGATTTCAAGTAAACAGTTTTTAATTTATTGGGATAATGAATATCACTAATTATGCTTTGAAATGTCACTAATCAAAACACGAAAGCATCTGACACATCGCATCGACATAAACATATGATATTCGCCTTCAAACGACATCTGTTGAGAAATACGCACGAACTTTCCGGACAACCCAATATTTTGTTTTGTTTTTGGATAAATATTTTTAATATTTTATATGTACATATATATATATACCAGGTGTAGAAGTATGAAACCGGATTTTTTTTGTAAAAATTACACGTCTGTTGTTTGAAAATGATAAAAAATATTTTATTCAAAATAATCTCCATTGCTATTTATACATTTTTCCCACCTCTCCGGCAGTTTATGAATGCCACGCCAAAAAAACAGTTCTTCTTTTGAAGCGAACCAGTTATCGAGCCATTTTCGTACATTTTCATACGAATTGAAGTGTTGTTCAGCGAGAGCGTGTCCCAGTGATGCGAATAGATGATAATCGGACGGAGCCAAGTCTGGAGAATAAGCCGCATGCGCTAATATTTCCCAATTGAACGCCTCGATCGTTTCCTTGACCCATTTTGCTGTGTGTGATGGAGCATTATCATGAAGCAAAATGATTTTGTGTTGCCTTTTTCCATATTCCGGTCGTTTTTCACGTAATGCTCTATTTAAATCGATCATTTGCTGTTGGTAGCGATTAGTGTTAACGGTTTCACCAGGTTTTAGCAGCTCATAATAGATTACACCCTTCTGATCCCACCAAACACAGAGCATTGTCTTCTTTCCAAAGCGATTTGGTCTTGCAGTGGATGTCGATGGTTCGCCAGGATTCACCCATGATTTACGACGCTTAGGATTCTCAAAATATATCCATTTTTCATCACCTGTCACGATTCGATGGAGAAATGACTTTCTTTTGTATCTGTCGAGCAGCATTTCACAAGAGGTTTTTCGATTTTCTTGCTGTCTTTCATTCAGTTCATGCGGAACCCATTTTCCCACTTTCTGAATCTTTCCCATAGCTTTCAAACGAATGGAGATGGCTTTCTGCGTCACATTCAATTGATCCGCGAGTTCTTGTTGAGTTTGAGTATCATCTTCATCCAATAAGACTTGCAATTCGTTGTCTGTAAACTTTTTCGGTGGTTTCCCACGCTCTTCGTTTCTCACGTCAAAAGCACCACTTTTGAATTTTTTGAACCACTCGAAACACTGTGTTTTACCAAGAGCATGTTCACCGTAAGCTTCGACAAGAATTCGATGCGATTCTGCAGCAGTTTTCTTCAAATGATAACAGAAAACCAATGCTATCCGCAAATCGTAGTTCGTAGGCACAAAACTCGACATGTTTAAGGTTATAAAAAAATATACCGGTGTATGGAACTTGGGTTGTTGTGTGTTGGAAATCTTTGTCAGCTCTTAGAGAGAGATGATGGCGCTGCAGATGCGGTCTTGCGGTCCCTAAACTGATAGCTAGTGCCATATATAGGGAAATTCCGATTTCATACTTCTACACCTGGTAGAACAAGTATAGACCTATGTATGATGAATGTCTGAGGAATGTGTATACAAAAGGTGAATGTGTGTCAGAAGTTTATTAAATTAAGAAATTAAATGTAGAACAAATGTAGACTGGAAGCCATCCTAAGCTGCAAGGCAAGGATTAAAATAAATAAATAAAAATAAAAATATATACATATATGAAACATTTTATTAGAATAAATGCCAATCAAATTAATATAACCAAATATTTGATTGGCATTATTTCATCATAAGTTACTAAATTCTAAGGGGATCAACCACTGTTCTAACAAATGTATATACTAATGTACAGATTGCTAATTATGGCAATACAATACACTTTATTGCTAGTATTGCTATATGCTTGTATTGTTAATATTGTTATCCTATATATTATCTATTACGCGCAATATTGCCAAGTATTGTTAATGTATTGCTATGTACTACTACGTATTGCTAGCGCATTGTTTTAGTACTGCTACTGCTAACATTGCCTGCTTTATTACTGTACTGTCACAATATATTTCTAAAGAAGTGTATACTGATTGCCATAGTGGTTGACCTTTTGCCAGACTATTTTTTTCAGTGTAGGATAAGAAATAATGAAGATACTCATAATACACGATCATGCATACCTACCGAAAAACTTCCGTCTGTCTAATAAATCAATAATGGTCTCGGGACTTTATAAAGTTAAAATAGCTCAATATTGTTTACTTTATAAATATTAACATGTAGAACAAAATATTTTATCTCAATGTAGATTGTAACTTATGAAGTTAGAGGAAAAACCGTAAGAAATAAAAAAAATAACGTACTTACCTTATTTAATTATGATAAATATCCGAAGTACATAAATTTAGAACAAACTTCGCAGCATATGCATTGGAATGTCGCGATAGATTCATCTTTTTACAACAGTTGGCACTACTAGTATCAATCATTATAGAAATATAAAGGATGCTCATATTACCTGCAGTACTTATAATACCCGAGTCTACATTGATCAAGCATTCTTATCTCTGATTTTTAATGATGGAGGATGAAGCCGGAAATTGATAGTTTATGTGGCGTTAAGGACTCGTGCTATTTCACTCTATCGTACTGCTTTCATCAAAATAGATACACCACGGGTTCTAAACGCTACATAAACTGTCAATTTCCGGCTTCAAGCTACGGACAGAATGTTTGGTCTATGTATACATGTCGTTGGATAAATCAACTGATGTAAAGAAGAAATACATAGGTAACTGTATTTAAATCATTTGTATATAAAATGCAACAATTCAGAAAAAGTATGCATAATTTTATTAATTTTTTATTATATGTAATTATTTAGATGAATTATTCACATTAAATAAATTAATTAATTGAAATAAATAAATAAAATATACTACGTCAAAAAATTAAGGGATACTTTATTCTGTTCTCCAAAAATGGAGAATTTTCAAGAGTGTAACTTTCAAGGAGCGTTTTATAACTGTCCTGAATCGATTTGATTCTCTTTGAAATATTGTTATTAAATACAAAAAATCTAAATGATATATCTTTTTATACGTGCGGAATTTCATGTTTAAGGGATGAACAGCCCTTTGAAAAAAAACGGTTTTTTTCTTTCAAAACATCGTCAAAAGTATTTTAAAAAATCGATAATTATTTACTGCAGAGGACTCAGCCCCGATGATTTTAACCTTAATATATGTTGTCAAAGTTATAATCCTTTTCCTCAGCAAGTAGATGGCGGTCTCTTATAGTTTTTGAGATATTTAGAGTGCAATTTTAGTATTATGCGTCTATACGATTTCCTACGCGAAGCGAAGTCCACCCCTTCCTCCACTTCCCTTTCCTCCCCTACCAAAGGGCGACCGACTTTTCACATGAAGCGAAATTCAACCGATCACCTCCTTTACCTAGAAGTGTCTGATTTTCCACGCGAAGTGAGGTTCAGCTCCTCTCCCCCTGCCTAGCGGCATCCGACTTTCCTTTTCGCGCAGAGAAAGTGTGGGCTGGAACTCGCTTCGCGTAGAAAATTGGTTTTAAAGTACAAATTCTCTGCTTTAAAAACATTCAAAGTCAAGGTCATCGGAGCTAGGTCCGTTATTGTCAAAATTTACCGAAATATTTATTTGTAATTACGAATTAAATTATATAATTTATCTATTCATCTACTTTCCTGATAGAATGATTAAACCCTAATTCCCTATTGTTATTTTTTATTACCTTCTCGGCCACACCAAAGTCTGTGAAACCCTACAACTTTGTCACGCTATACCTTTGAACTAAATACATATTTTTTAGCTCAAACCATGTGAAATCTGTACCTCAAAGAAAGACAGATAAATATAAATCAAATAAAAAAATTTTTTTTTCAATTACAATGATATAAAAAAATTTTATTGGAAAAATTCGCAAAAAATGATGACTTTATATAAAAAATTCTCAAATTTTTAAATCTAAACGTGGAATTTTTTTAATTGACCTTTTGAAGTAACAAAAAAAATAATACGATATAAATCACTCAAAGAAGTATATTATAATTATTATAATTATTTGAAGTATCGAAAATCGACGTTTTTAAAAAATCTACATATAATTATTTTAATAAATAAAATTTTAATATTTATAACTACCTATAAAATTACTTATAAAACTATTTACCAGTAATTGCGCTTTTTTTATCCCTTGGTTTCGAAAGCGCCGAAGATTACGCCAATGGTTTAGAAGATGATGCAGCTTGTTCTAAAAAAAGTTACCGTTGCAGGTTTATCGTATCTATAGATAGTTAAAGTTTTTTTCTTAACCTCAATCCAGGTCTTAAAATTATATTATAAAAAAGTAACAGCAATGGGAAAAATCGCATAAAGTGTATTGTCTCCTAGGGTGGCGAGCTAACGTAAATAATATTTTATAAATACAATAATGTTATTGTGTTACAAAGAAATACATATAGGCGAATTTAATGTATTAATTTTATTTTATTATAGAAAATTTTACATATTTTTATTCTACAGCCTGTCTCGAATTTAAATGGCCAAACTTCGAGAGCGTACAGGGGATTGATAAATTAAGAAAAAAAATCCTTTAGAAATATGCTTGTTTTTGCTTCGTTTTAAAGAAAATCACAAAAAAAGACAAAACATAATTTTTATTTTTATATTTATTTATTACTTATTCGTTCACACTTATTTATTTACGTTGTCACTTGCTTAATGCAGATATTGTTCAAAATATTGGCCTCTTGCAACAATGCATGCATTGCATCTTGTACGGACAGTTTATTTTGCAGCCAAACACTGATCTGATCAATGTAATGACTCGCCGATCCAGCACTTTTCTCTCTGGAAATTGGCACGCACTCTCGCACTGCCTCTGAAACATTATCGCTGAAGTTGTACACAAAGAAAACAATATTCCGAAAATTACATTTGTTTTCTTTAGCGATTTTCTCCAAAATAAAGTAAAAGCAAGTATATCTTTAAGGGCATATTCGAATTTCCATCTGTGTTCCCCGAATGTCATGTTATTCTTGTTGTTTATTGAACGTTAAATAAGGATGATATGACATTCGAGAAGCACTCAGGTGGGAATCAGGTGGGAATCAGAACACGCTTCAAAGGACTTTTTTCTTAGTTTATCGATTCCCTATAGTTTGCCCATTTTAATTCAGGACACCCTGCATAATAAATTAAATATATTTATCTACGTACAATTTCAAAATATACAATAAACATAAACAATATATATAAGAAAAATATACAAATATTACAAAAGTATAAATGAGGAGCAGACTTTCAAAATGTGTATTTGTCAAAAATTTATAATTTTTAGAAAACGAGAAAGAAAGAAACTCTGTACACTGGAATTGTCACAGACCTGGAAAACCGGGAAAATCGGGAAAAGTCGAGGGAAAATGTAAAAGTCTGAAATTTCGAAATTTGCTCACAATTTCCTTAAACTGCTCTTATTCCAAATAATTGTTATAATTTTTTAAATATTATATGACGTTTATAGTCAAATACAATACAGTTCAAAACTTGCACACTTTAAACGATTTTAATAAAATAATTAAAATTTATATTTTATTCAGTATTTTTATTTGATCCCTTTTTTTGTCATAACTGCACTCTTTTTTCAAAACGAATTAATTTTTTACTGACTTGAATTTGTACCCGAAATTTTTATTATGCTTTTTTTGTGTTATTCTTAATAATATAAACTAGCTTTCCTACATTCTTTGAGTTTAAATGTTAAAATTTACACATTTATATTAGAAAATTTTCCATTTTCATCTAGAAAACCTTGAAAAGGGAAATTTTTAAATTCATTTTCTGTAGCAACCCTGGCACATAAGAAAATTACGCACTTTACAAAAAATAATAATATGCTAATCAGTATGATAAGAAACATTAAAAACAACAAAATTGCTAAATAATTGCTAAAAATAATTGTTAAACAAATGCATTTTGTTTATCTCTCATTAAAAAACATAATGCACTTCGAAATGTTTATGGCTGCGTTGCATGCATAATGTACATGATGTATCATTCTTTAGAAATTAATATCTCAATTGCGAAAATTGGGAAATAATCAAGAACTAAACTAAGAAATAACCATGACAAAGCAGTTTATTCGTCATCAATCTCTATTTGTTTATAACTTAATACATAGGATAAAACCACTAGACATGGATCAGGCACTAATTCTGAATCACTTTTTATATTTACATAATTATAGTATTTTTTATTAAATAGTACATATATCACAAGATTCTTTAGTATTTGTTTTGTCTCTTTCAAGTGTCAATTGAATTTAATTTATTAGGAACGGTGCCACACATTTTATTGATGTCATTAACTAATTAAATGTGCGAGGTTAATTAACGTATGTATCTTTAAAAATTTATTCAATGTGTAATATGTTACAAGAATTGCCTTATAACTTTTATAGTAAGTAGTACTTAGATTTCATGGAAAAAAAAACGTTATGTTTAGTTGAGATTAAATATGTCCACGGGTGTTGTGTGTAATCACTATGTTATAACGATACTATTACTGCATAAATTTATTATGGAAATGTTTAAAAACTTGTCAAATCTTACAAATGATGCCATCCCAAAAAGATTCATTTGTTTTAAGTATTAAAGTAAATCATACAATAATATATACATGTCTATATGCAAAAAGTATCACTATTAATAATTTAACTGTTTTTTTTTATTGCTAAACATTTAATTTTCATCAATTTTTTAAATTATCATTGATTTTTAATTGTCATTAATTTTTAATAAACTTGGATATGGTAAAATTGCATCATTATTCACAATTAGATCCTAGAACTAAATGTGGATCATCAATTATAATTCCGTTACATATACTAAGATATGCATGCGCAAATAATTTTTATTATCCTTATGGGATGTAGTAACGCCATCAAAAAGGATAAAGCATTTGATGAATTGATTCACAATTAGTACATGGGGATAATTGTCATTACTTTATTTATTGTATATGTAATTCAAATTATAACATATAAAACGATAATGAAATGGAATAAAATCATCCATTATGTAATTTTTATGATCAATCAGGACAATTAAATATTTTATTAATTGTTTGATATTGTTCCGGATCAAATATGAATTTTTTTTTTAAAGAATGATCTACAACTAGTGGTTTTACCCTAACGAAAGGAGATTGAACGAAAACGAAATTATACACTATATTTGTTAACTAAGTTAGATGATAATGATCTATTTGATCTAAAATTGTTTATAACTTAATATTTAACAAAAGGAGATCGGATGGAAACGAAATTATACACAGGTATTTATTAACTAGGCTAAGAAGTAATAATGAAGAAGCGATTTATTCGTCATCGATCTCTATTTTGTATACATTACGAAAGGATATTAAACGAAAACGAAATTATACACTATATTTGCTAACTAAGCTAGAAATTGATAATGATCTATTTGATTTCGATCTCCATTTGTTTATAACTTAATATTTAATTAAAGAGATCGGATGCAAATTGCACGGAGATATTTGTTAATACAAAATGCGTGATATCAATACAAAGTTACTTTTTAAAAAAAAGGTAAAAAAAGATTAAGAATATGCTTTTCAAATAGAACTTAAGTGATATCTTACGTATCTTTTTATTATTGTAATCAAGTAGTTTTAATTCTTTTTCAAAGATATTTTTATTGAAGATTCTCTTATTCCAATCCAAGTAATGACAACTTTAATGCTTTGTCAAAAATTATTACTTTTCGAAAAAAACTATTGTATCAAATTAAAAATTAAAACCAAAATGATACAGTCATAACTAACTAAGATATATGTACATATATTAAAATCTAAGTGGTAATATCTTTGTTACTTATTTCTAATGATATGTATCTTATTATTATATAAAAGATTTGATATTATAACAACTGGCGCCAAGTTAAATTCCACAAAATTTTATATATTATTTGTATAAAAAATTACCTTTTTAAAAAAAGGTAAAAAAGGCGCTAAGAATATACGTGCTTCTCGAATAAAACTTAAGTTATTCGTATTTTTTTATTATTCTACTCAAATAGTAGCAATTTTAATTCTTTTCCAAAAATATTCTTATTAAAGGTCCTTTTATTTCAACCTAATGACAATTTTAATTCACTGTTAAAAATTATTACTCTTCGAAAAAAAAATAATGTACAAAATTTGAATTTAAAACCTTTATGATATAATGTTAATTAATCAAGTTAAATTCTATCAAATTAAAAAGTAAAACACAAGTGGTACTATCTTTGTTATTTATTTAACTTTAATTATATTATATGTATCATTTATATAAAAGATTTGATATATCAACAATTGGCGCGAAGTGTTAAATCCCATACCAAATTAAATAAATAATATTAATTCTAATGATATATATTATTCATATTAAAGATTTGATCAATAACTGGCCAAGTTAAATCCCATACTAACCAAATAAAGAATATAATCCAAGTGGTACTATCTTTAACTTTTGTACTATGAAATCTAAATGTACAGGATGTCTCATCTAAGAACCAGCCACCTGAATAACGCTCATAGTTTTGTAGATAGGAAGAAATGCTTGAAATAAAGTTGTTCGGTATCGAGAGGAGCATCATATGATAGTGAACATTTTTTTCCTAAGTGGAAGCACTTAGAAGATTTGAAGGTCACCTTTGTTTTTTAAAATGGAATTATGTGAATTTTTTTACATAATATGATTCCTCTAACTTTTGCATATAAAAGTATTAAGATAATGATATCGAAAAATCAATAATTTATGAGATATTTTATGCTTTATTCTGGCACATATTGACAAATGTTAAATAACTCGTAAACTATTAACTTTTTGATAATCGTACTTTGATACTTTTATGAACAAAATAATGAGATGAATTAGGTGTAAAGAAAAAGCACATAGTTGCTTCAAAAAAATATGTATGCAAAATGAATAATTTTTTAAATAAGCAATTATGTGTTTTCTTTCTACTAACTAATTCATCTCATTATTCTATTTATAAAAGTATTAAGATATGATTATCAAAAAGTTAATAATTTACGAGTTATTTAACATTTTATGTGCCAGAATAAAGCATCAAATATCTCGTAAATTATTGGTTTTTCGATACCATTACTTTAATATTTTTATATGCCGAATAGTTAGAGGTATCATACTAAAAATTCATATAATTTAAAAAATCGAAAATAACCTTAAAATCTTTTAAGCGCCTCCAATTGGGAAAAAATGTTTATCATCACATGATGTTCCTCTCAATACCAAACAACTTTATTTCAAGCATTTCTTCCTATTTCCAAAATTGTGAGTGTTATTCGGGTGGCCGGTCTTGGATGAGACACCCTGTACACCTGGTATATCTTTTTATTCTTATTGAAGATCTTCCTATTCCGATCCAAATGACTTTAATTCTTTTTATATGAAATTTTTATATCGTAATTTATTCAAAGACATTTTCTCTTCCAAAATAGTTTTTAAAGTAGTTATTAAATTCTTCAAAATATTATTTAAAATATTATTTAAAACGTTATGACAAAATTCTGTTACTTTGTATTACTTCCATTCAAGTATTACCATAAAAAATTAAAGAAGTAAACACTTAGTGTTACTAAATCACAGTATAATATAGTATTAAAAACATGAATAATATTTAGAATAAGAAAAGTAAGAAACATTTTCATGACAGTAAAAGTATCCATCATATATATATATATA